ACATTTACTAGCTCACTGTGTTAGATGTCACAATAACAGACCTGGTGAGGAGTGGGTGGTGTGCTGACAGCTCATTCATCATCAGCTGAGTCAGTTGCAGCTCAGTCACCCGAGTGGCTGACTCGCATCTATTTCAGACTTTATAATCAAAATACACGGAAATAAAGGAGTCAGTGTTGCAGTACTTCCCCACACGCATAAACACACTGCATACAAGGCAGAATACAATGACATGTCGTTAGTATTACCAGTACTTGGGCCTGAGATGTGCTGTGGACAGGCCTCGATATATAATTTTAAATATATCAACTTCACAGAGTTTAAGTATGAAACCCCCTGACAACCTAAAACTTCTGCTTCGTGGAAGCAAATGTAAAACTGCTGGTATTGTTTTGGTGAAATCAGTTTGCCCTTTTTCACAGAGGTGAACCTTTCTATCAAAGTGCAGTGGTATTACATGGCAGAAGAGCTCATAATATGATCTTTGCCTCTACCTTTTTATTTTATTGTTTTTAGAAAACACTGTCATAATCCTCTTTTAGAGCATCAGACAACCAGCAGGGTTAGGCAGGGTACCTTTAAACACAACGGTTAGCGTGTATCCAGAGAGACGTATGGGTTCAGTTCTGTTATTTATTGTGTCACTGTCAAATTCAAATTCAAATCAGCTTTATTGGCATGAATGTATAACACTGTCTTCTTCGAGCTATAAGTCAGATTCAGTGTGAGGCTTCATTTCAAATAGTGGGCCTAACAAGGCCAGCTGGGCTTTCCCCTCTACTGGTTTTCAATTGCAAGGCCAAAGAGGACTGATTTGTGCTATTCATGTCATGCTCATGATGCTTTTTGCATCGCACTCTGAGCAAGATAATAATAATAATCGAGGGATGGAGAATATATCTCCCCCTGAGCTAAATAAAGAAATAGCGCTTTTAATTTTTGGCTATAAACAGACTGAGTTGGCCTCTGCTCTGGTAAGCCTCTTTTGGTCCCACTGTGGATAAGTGGCTTACAGTAATGGTAATGTACAATGTTACATGATGGACACATGACACAGACACACATATGAGGCATGTGCACAACATTGTATGCACACACTTAAAAACAGAAACACAAGCTGGTGCCGTGAACCTCAATGCCTCTTACTGTCAGGGGCCAACTGGCAGGATATCAGCTCCAGTGTATGTGTCTGACAGCAGCTCATGTTTGTTTGTTGCTCGAGTGAGAAGATCTTGACTTTAAAGATGACAGTTCTGCTTTTATAATTAAGTTTTCAATCCATTTTTCACTTGGGTTGAACTTCCAAAATAAGGTGTCAAACACCACCTAGTGATGAGGTGTTTTTCTTAAGCCTCTTAAAGAAAACTTGGAAGAGATGCAAACTTTTCACCTGATTACAGTATTTTTCCTGAACCGCTGTAATACTGCTGTCATTGGCAATTCTGGCAGCAATGCACAAGTTTTACTGATTTTCATGAATCATGTCTTCAATGTGTTAATTAATTATTATTAATTATTTAAAAAACTTGTCATGTGAATGAAGTCAATGAAATTGGACTTAAACCTTTTCGGTGAGGAAAGAAAACGAACAATTTGGTATACGTCCAGCATATTTATTTTAGTATGTAAAATTGGTTTTGGCTTATTTAAGGACAAGTACAAGGTACATGGTGGATTTATTTACCATTTTATGACACAGGGTTTTATAACAAGATAAAGTTTTTTTTTCCCTTTATGCCACTCTTGAAAAGCAAAATGTTCCATACAAAAATGAGATACAGTAGATGAGTGTATATATACACCCTGGGTGTCAGCATTTCCTCTGTGGAATTAGTGGACATGACCATAGATGACCACAGATGTATTGTTTTTAGCTGCGATTCGCCTGTTACTCATTCCGCCTCACTAAGCTCCGTGTGTTCTCGTATCTTTAATGAACAAAGCGTTTCAAAGTTTTGCGCAGTCTTTCAGAGCCAAAGCCAACACCTGTCTGATTCCAACACCAACAATCTGGTCCATCATTTCAGTCATATCTGCTTGTCGTCACTAAATATTACTGCTCCTCTAAAGGTTAGGCCTACGTCTAAAGCTAGTAAGCAACCCTGGATAAATGACAGCATTCGCAGCCTAAAAAGTGAATGCAGGAAAGCAGAGCGCAGATGGAAAAAATCCAGTCTCCAAGTCCATTACCTCAGTCTGAAGGATTTATTAATTAACTACAATAACATGGTTAAGGATGCGAGAACACACTATTTTTCTGAACTCATTACTACACATAAACACAATCCCAGGTTTCTGTTTAAGACTGTGGATCAGCTGGTAAACCCAACCCCTCCTTGTGCCTCAGCTGCAAGTAATGATGACTGTGAATTGTTTTTATCTTATTTTACCAATAAGGTGGTGTCAATCAGAGCCTCTATTACCCCAGCGGCCTCTTACTCAGAGGTCCCTCACCAGCAACAAGAGAGTTTTAACCAGTTTTATCCCATCGACTTGTCTGAGCTTTTAAAAACAGTATCACAAATGAGAGTGTCCATCAGCCCACTTGATGTAATACCTACAAAGTTTTTACTGAAAGTAATGGATTCTGTTGGGCCCCATTTGATCTCTGTTTTTAACAGCTCCCTATCTACTGGTTGTGTCCCTGATTATTTTAAAACGGCTTGCGTGAACCCACTTTGAAAGAAACCTGGTTTAGATCCCTCCCTCCCACAAAATTTTAGACCAATTTCAAAACTGCCTTTTATTGCAAAGATTCTAGAAAGAATTGTGTCCAAACAGCTGCTCACTGTACTGGAAAATAACAAAATATTTGAAAAGTTTCAATCTGGTTTCAGGAAGTACCACAGCACTGAGACTGCCCTGCTTAAAGTCACCAATGACCTTTTAATGTCTGCTGATGAAGGCATGTGCTCAGTCCTTGTACTCCTGGACCTTAGCGCTGCTTTTGACACCATTGATCACAACATCATGTTAGACAGACTGAGGCACTGGGTGGGGATCCCTGGTACTGCCTTAGAATGGTTTTCATCCTACCTGTCAAATAGGAAGTTTTGCGTGTCTGTAAACAACTATGTCTCCACGTTCTGTCCAGCTAAATATGGTGTGCCTCAGGGGTCGGTCTTAGGACCCATTTTGTTTTCCTTGTATCTGCTTTCCCTTGGACATATTATCCATAAACATGGCATTTCTTTTCATATTTATGCTGATGACACACAAATATACTTGCCCGTCAGATCCACAGACCCTGGAATGCTGAAAGTTCACTTAACAACTGCCTTTGTGAAGTTAAAAAATGGATGTCAAATAATTTCCTCCAACTGAACTCAGACAAAACAGAAATCCTGGTCATTGGGTCCCAGCAGATGGCAAATCAAATACTGCCATCTGCTGGTTCCCTAGTAAATCACATTAAGCCTGTGGCAAAGAACCTTGGTGTTTGGTTTGATAGTAATTTAAATTTTGAGCAGCACACCACAAAGCTTGTTCAATCATGTTTTTATCAACTTAGAAATATAGCAAAAATTCGATCTATGTTAACTTTTAAGGACATCGAGACCATTTTACACGCCTTCATCTCATCACGCCTGGATTATTGCAACAGCCTTTTCACCTGTTTAACCCAAAAATCTATTGATCGACTCCAGATTGTCCAGAACTCAGCTGCCAGGCTTTTAACCAGAACAAAGAAATATGACCACATTACTCCTATTTTAGCTTCATTACACTGGCTCCCAGTGTGTTTTAGAATTGACGTTAAAATTCTATTGATCACTTTTAAAGCTCTTCATGGCCTCTCGCATTGTTATTTCTGAACTTTTAGTCCCATACACACCAGCACGTACATTTAGATCCTCGGGCAGAGGTCTGTTGTCCGTTGTATCTTAAACGTGTATTTTAGTCTTTTCAATGTTTTCATGCTTTTATCTTGTATTGTTTTTGTATTATTGTCTCTTGGATATTATTCTCTTTACACTTGTTAAAGCACTTTGTAACTTGTTTTTGAAAAGTGCTCTACAAATAAAGATTATTATTATTATTATTATATAACACGACATACAAATAGAACTATTTTACATGGTGCAGTGTTGAGGATGAATTAAGGAGTCTCACAGCCTGAGGGAAGAAGCTGCTCTGTAGTCTGGTGGTGCCACAGCAGATACTTCTGGATCTCTTGCCAGACGGCAGCAGGGTGAGCAGGCTGTGTGATTCTCTCTCTATGTGGTTATTTGGTTGCAGCTGTCTTTGTACGTCATCATTATTAAGACAGGGAGGAAAATATAATATTGAAGCCATATTCTTGACCTTTATATCACGTGGATAATGGATTTTTTTTTTTTTTTGCAAGAGTCCAAATTTTTTTTATATGTAATGCAACCACTGACATGATCCTCAGGTGACCTCAGCATGGGCAACCACTTACCATACCTTTACAAATCTGCTTGAGGTTTGGAATAATCGTACAGTTTGAATCTACATACACGGTGAACTCTCTGTATGCAGCCAATCTATTTGAGAGTTTACTGACCGTATATATTTCGCTGTTGTATTTGTGTGTCAGACTTTTAAATGCATTTTAAGATTACTGTCGTTATTTTTAAAAGGGAAAACACTAACAGCCAATTTAACATGCTTTTAATATGTCCAGTCTACTTTGGTCCCAGCTCAGCATCACAAACACACAGCAAGAGAGCCAACTCAGTTGTCAGGGGCAACCTGTACGTGCTACGTCCCACAAGTTGCGTCAATTGCTGCCTTCAGGTACCGTGGGAAATCAAAAACCTATATATGCGGCGCACATGAAATACGCTACAAAACAGTTTCTTATATCACCCAACAATTATAAGTGCATCTTTGGTGGCGGAGGGCAGAAGCTGCATTAGCTTAATTATAAATTACCATCACAGCCTGGTTCCATGTGTTATCACCTAGGCTATGGCCTACAATGAAATAAAACAGAAAAGTGTGTTTCACAGTGAGGTTGCTTAAGTTTCTTTAGCTGTGTGGGGCGGGTTGGTTAACTATATCTACTTATAGCGACACTATGCTGTCCAAATAATAATCATCTTGCCATTCAATCTTTTTGGTAATTTTGTCAGGAGTAAGACTATGTAACCAGGATTTCCTGGGAATCGTTATTTGCTACTAAAAGCATCCCGTTATATAAATCAACTTACTTGTGTGTTTTTATCTTTTCTTGTGCCTCCTTTAATGGAAGATACAACCTCAGTAAATAGAAATGGCTTTGCAGTTGCGCGACTGGGGATCTTGAAAGCAGGAGCTCATAGTGCGGCCTGAACGCAGCACGTGTTGCAGCCAGCAGGCAGCGGCAGCAGACCGGTACCCGAGCGGCACAGCGCCGCATCACACCGACCCCAGTGCGTCAAAAACACCCAAAAAACGTTACCATTTTCTACTTTCTTCTCAGTGACTCGTCGCCACCAGCGGAGCCGCGACGCTCTAGACCATGTAGGCTTTCGACTGTTTCTTTTTCTTTTCTTTTTTTTGTACTTTTACCGGACAGCCTGCGACTTGTGAAGCCTCTGGTCACGCCGCCGGAGTCCTTTTCATCTGGCCGCCTGTAGCCTTGAACCGAGCGGTGAACTTTTGTGAAAACTACAAGTCACCCGTCGTCGATACCTAAAGGAGTTTGTGATATATTGGGCCTGACAACACTTTCGCCATGAGGTAAGAAGCTCCCAGTTGTCTTAAATATGAAATAATATTAGAAGTGGCTGCTCTGCGGGCGATAATGAGATGAAAGTAAGGAGTTGAAGCGCCGCACAGAGCAGCCTGGCGCGCGAGGAAAACTACAACTGAGATACTGGCTAAAAACATGCCGCTTTTATGTGTCATAAACCACAACAGCGGTTCAAAATATGCAGCTTGTATTTAAGAAGCTCTATGCAGTGTCCGCCTGCTGTGCCATGTTGGCTTTTTTAAGAGGGTGAATAGCCTAGTGTCCGCTTTATTGCACAGGCTCGTTCACTCAGTTTGTGCTGCATTTGTGGAGGTGCACGGGTTTGGAATGGCGCTCGCTCGTTCCTGCTGCTACTCCCACACTGCACAACAGGGATTATCTTTCAGCACTGGTGATGGGCTGGCATATTTTTTGATGCCACATTATGATTGTTGTTACACAGCTCGCGCACTTTTGTCAGCTGGGGAAGTGACACGGGGGAACGGCAGGCAAATCCCCATGAATGGCTCGGTCTCTAAACATACTGTAGACTCCCAGCCTGTACTGATTCAAATGAGAAGACATGCAACACATCCTCACAGCCACTTCATGACACATGTCAGAAGTGTGTTAGTGACAGTCTACATATAGCTGGCATGGTGCACCCATCTGACACCCATGTCTCTTATAGCCTGCTGTATAACACGTGCCCATGTATGCTGATGGGTCTAGTATGCGTGGCTGTTGTGTAACATGGATGGATTCTTTGTTTCCCAGTGAACATGATGTTGGCTGTCTTTTGAAGGGCAAGAATGACCCCAAGCTCAGTGTAGTTAAAAGCCGATGGAAAGTGCTGAGTATTGACCAGTACTGGAAATATTAAACATGCCTTATCATTTGTCTGTTTCCTTTCTATTATCTTTGGAGTCAGTTACATTATGCATTTCTTGTAAACCTTCTGGAACATTATTATTGCTCGGAGTTGCTAAAATGTCTTTGACCAGCCTCTCACTTGAGAACCCACACTGTTCGGTTACCAGCACTTTGTCAAGGTCTAGGAAAGACCTTGTTTATCTAGGACGACATGCCTGAAAGCATGTAGAGTGATCATTTTGAGCGGTTTTGAATTGCCTTCCATTCAAGAATCTGTCACTAGATTGGCCTGAGGTTGCTGATGAGACAAAAAGCTTTGTACTTGATTCTGTTGGACATGTCCAACGCAGCGGTTTTTGTCAGATATTTCCTTTTGCATGGTGCTGAGTGTGACATTCTACTCCATGCAGAGAACGTTCAAATGTCCGAACAGTTTCTACGGAAGTGTGTGACCTTGATTTTTCATCTGTGATCTAACTTGGTGTGTTAAAAAGTGAGACATGCCATGTAGATGAGTCCTGCCCCCTTTAAGAAAGCCCCTAATTGAATCCAGCTGTTGAAATCTCTCCGTAGGCCAAACTGCGGTTAACAATAGCTTTGGTTGTTTCCAAGAGCTGCATGTTGTGTCCATGTCCCAGAATGGAAACCACTAACTTTTCATCTTTCTCAGTTTTTCCCTTCTCTTTCTCATACGTTTTAACAGCTTTCTCATTAGTCGTTTCTAACCTTACATGTCTTTTGGAGCCTATCTCGCCTCAAACTGCAGCCGTGTTGAAATTGAGCATTGCCAAACTGGCCAGCAAACAGGAGTTAGAATGTGTGTGTGTTGTTTTCCTTGCTGTCATTCAAAAGGAGAAATGTGTGTCCAGACGGGGTATTGATGTGTCTGTGGGGTGGTGCGTGGGTGTGGGTGGGTGTGTGTGTGTGTGTGTGTGTGCGCGCGCGCGTGTGTCAGATAGTGTGAGTGGCGGCCCCAGCTGCTCAGAGCTGACTCATGCAGGACACTTGCAGCTGTTTGTTAGTGTGACATAAGGTTGGGGCTGCAGTGACAGCCCTAAGTTATTGGTCCAGTGGCTGTTGAGCACATACTGCTGGAGTTCAGCGTTATCCTGCCAACAACTCCATGTCCTGCGTTCACACAACTAACTTGTGGAGCACAGACCTTGTGCAGCCAAGCGCAAGTCGTCGATTACAGCCAATCAGAGCTTCCAAGTAAATATGCTATTTGAATGTCAGGAGATAATAAACAACTCAAAAATGGTTCTTGGAGAACCACTGCTTTCGCTGTTTGATTTATGTGCCACCTAGCAACATCCACTTATTAAGTCAACATTATAGACCCTACACAGCTGAGGTTTCACTTATTTTGCCTGATACATAACTGTATGGGTTCTTGCGCTTTATTGACATCTGTCTGACCCTCCTATTAGTTTTGTGTTACACCTAGGGCTGCAATTTTACATTACTTTCATTAATCTAATCTGCCGATTATTTTCACTATTAATCAATTAGTCAATAAAATATCTTAAATTGTTAAATAAAAATCACAATTTCCCAGAGCCTAAAATCTTTACAGATAACAATCATGATCCAACAAATGTTTGACATTCTTTTTTCGAAAAATGATTGAAATGATGAATCAGTTATCAAAATATTTGACTATTTTCTTTCCATCAACAAATCATTGCAGCTCTAGAACACCTTTTATCATTCTTATTGGTTATTGATGTTTGGTGACTTCATGTAACTACTTTACTTGGGCGGGCCGCTCGGGTAGATTAACAGGTCAGTATCGGGTAGATTAATATTAACCGCCCAAGTAAATTTGCTGACCCATATTAAAATCGTTTTTGATTGCAGCACTGTAAAGCGCATATTTGCTCCGCACATTCTCTGTCTGTCTGTCGCAAACACGGATAACAGACCCGTCAGTGAATTGAATGGTTGGTATCATTAACACCGCTGCACAAATCTGTCCGACACAACGCTGTCAATGTCGGAGACCCATCTTCAAAACAGTTATTAGCAAGCATGTAAGAATCCTAGCTAATAAGGAGAGCTATGTTAACTTTGGCAGGTGCGTTCGAGATAACTGGCTGACTTTCGCCGACTTGATAGATAGGGGAATAAAAATAGCGCCCTCAAGTCAAAAACAATCTACCTCCGGTAGACTGCGTGAACTTAGAACAATGATCAGGCCTTGCTCCCACGAGGTCTAGTGACGTTTTGCAGCGCAGGTGGTGGCCGAATTGTGCATACCTGCCATGAATTGCACCTTGCGGGAGCTAACGCTCTGTTATACTGAGAAAAGAGGTGGATGCAAATTTCGGCAGATAGGCAACATCCGTTTTGCCGAATTATGCATTCACTTATTAAGGTCCTTTTAGGACACTTTGCTGTTCACATTGTTTGAACGCGGTTAACACCACATGTTTTTGTAGAATCTCAAGAAATGGTAGCCTACTTTTACTAAGTGTAAGAATATGTTAACGATTCTGAACGTTCATAAATTATATGCTGATCAATTATCACTATTGAAGATTGAGGGTTGGGGACGTGATGTGGGAAATTCTGAATGGGGTGTTGAAAATCTAAATGCTTATTGATAATGTAATGTTGAAGGAACACAAAAGGCAGAACTCGGAATGTACAGTGTAGGTTGCAGTGTGTCTGTTAATAAAAGTCTGTCTGTTTCCCTTTTTTATTGGAAAACAAAGAATTTTCTTGGGAGGACCCGAAACCTGGATGGATCATAACAAATACTTTGCATTACTGTGCTTTAAAAGTAGTCACACAGTGAGGAAAAATAGAAATCCTGTATAGAAAAGACTCATCGATAATGTTTTTATTATCGCATTGCAGCTCTCTGAATTGTAATTGAATCTTGAGCTGCCCAGAGATTCCCACCTGTTTTGGTTACCAGCAAAAGAAACAATATTGCGAACAAACTCTCTGGGCCCAGCAGATATTTAGCAGCACATGGCTGGCGGTGTCATCCTGACTAACTGGCCGGAGCACATTCCTAAGCTGTTAAGGATAAGAACATACATATAATGGTTGACAGTTTGTTTCCCTGCGTTGTGTCAGGCAGCACGTAACGCTGACGCAACTTATCTCGGGCCGCTTGATAAGCAGCCTCGTCAGGGTGACGGGGCTGTGAAGTGTCATGGTAACAAGCCTTGACAACTGCTGAAAGGCCTCGTGCTTCCCAGGCGCTGCAGGTTCACACCACAGATGAATGACAGGAGCCGATGCCAGGCTACACGTAGCCTGGGACTTTTTAATTTAGCTAACTGCTGCACTGGAACTGTCCATATAGAGAAAAACACCCCCAGCCACTCAGGAGTTTAAGTTGGACTGCGGCCAGTTCTGTTATCCCATCCAAATGAGCAGTTAATGAGGTCAGCCAGAGGCTAATTTGAAATTTGTCCTGTAAATTGATTTAAAAGACTTAAGATACAGTCACTGACTCAAGTTGCTTTTTGAATTTTATTGAGTCTAGACAGGGAATGAGATGCAAAGAAGCAGTCAGAGGGGAGCTGAGTCATTGTACAGATGTTCTTTAACCAACAGGTTAATAGATACTTCATTACCAGGGAGCATACCAACCTAATTCACAGTCAACTTCAATATAGCAGTCTTTGTTGACCTCCCGTGGCTTCAGATTTCTTCAGTAACAGCACTTGCTTTGTCTCTTGTGGAAGTGGTAGCAAACTCTGGAGTCAAATCCTGTCTGCTTCTCCTCGTTTATCATACAAACTGATGATGAGCTTAGTCAAGCACACATCGAAAACGGTTCCCAAGGCTGTGTCCAAACTGGAAAAATTATGTCATTTAATGCCGAAGACAGTTTTATGAACTTTTTGTAAGGGCCATTAAATTTATAAATCTCCCCAATTGCTTTTTTCTGTATTATGATCCCGATCTAAGTGCAGGGACTGACCCAAGTTTCCCTCCAGACTTGCTCTCTATCCAAGCCGTGCGATTGATTTGACTTTATATTGTTCTTATGCCAGAGATGTGAGTATAATCTTGAATAATTCATATGAAGTGTCGGAAAGAAATCATTAAAACTGACTAATCATCTGGAAGAGTCTGAGCTGACCTAATCGACTAAACTAATCCCATACAATCT